AACTAATACACCAGAATTTTACCAATAATCAAGTTTGAAAAGAAGTTAAAAATGTATTTAAAGGAACATGTTTATCCATTTAATGATTCACTATCTGAACTACTGTGCATGCATGTCATTACAAAAATAAGAAAATCAGATTGTTCAATAAAGTAGTAATTAAGGATGTGACTTCTGCTTTTTTTTTCTTAAGATAAAACCTACAACTTTTTTGGAAAATTTTAGGTATTATCCTCCTCAACTTGTTAATCTCCATGTCAATGAAGCACTTATTTTGTGATTATACATCTCAAATCTGTCACATTTATCATAATGGGAGCGATTACCAAGAAAAAAGAACATGTTATTAGCTTTGTTTGGGTTGGTTTTGTTTTTTGATTGTACAGGAAAGAAGAATGATGACATCCTGATCAGTCTAATGTAACACATGTAGGCTACAATGACAAGACAGCTTGCTTTAGTCAGCCCGTATCAGTCCCATGTGAAGTGAGGTCAGTGACTATTAATCATTTGTCAAGGACTGCGGGCCCTTGTCAGCCAATTATAGATATAAGGAACTTTGTATCACATCCACATGTGGCAAAGCTACAAAGGACTTAAACCACAGTACAGTAGTGACACTTTCTATAAATAAAACATAATTCTAGACAAAATGCTGGCCTGAATTGCATTATATTTCCATTTAGCTATTTTAGTAAACACAATAATATTATTGATTTTCCTTAAAATGTTAGGGACCTTGTGTGCTCCTTAGTTTTAAGAGTTTTCTTTTTTTTTTTTTTCACAACAAACCCACTGACAGAATCTAATTTAAACACAAAAAATCCCATTGAAGAAGCAACTGACTTGTATGTACAGAGCAGATAAATCTAGCTACTGGCCTGGCTTGATGATGGTCCCGAATCCTACCACTTCAGAGCAACTGTGACACTCACTTTTCATAGCAAAACTTACGGACATAATAATCTCCAGGGATGCAGAGGGTCATGGAGAAGAAAAAGACACGGGAAAAGGTAGATGGAAGCCTGACAAAATGACATCTCATCGCTACTTCAGATTCTTGCTAGAATTTTGGGGCTGACAATCTACATCACCAGCTACAGATGGACTCTCAGTATCAGCAAGGAGGCTTAAGACTCCCCTCCTGTCCCCACATCAGGCCATGATCATCCCTCAGGTGGGGCGAACTCCAACTCACAGGGCTGAATGGGTAGGGTACACTATATACTGATGCACACACACACTTTCGCCAACCAGCCTGGCAAGCCTGAGCTTCCAGCAGCGCAGAGGAGATAGCAGTGGAGCTAATAAGGGAGCACAGTTCTATTTATTCCTGGCAATTCTGTGCAGGTAACCCTGACCAAGCTCACAGCAGAGGCACAGACGATACTCCAAAAGATCATTATCATTGACTGATACGCTAATTGACTTCTGCAGGTTCCAACCACCCTTGGAAAAGCTGTCAGCCCCACATATATACAGTAGTTTGGGAAGGTTGTTGATTTTAGAGCTGTTAACATATGAAACCTGCCAGCCACTAACAGGGACAAGAAATTAAACTTCAGTTTAATAACTATTTTCATTTGTGAATGAAAACCAGTTTGATCACTCATTTTTAGTTTGAGACCACTGAGCAATAGACTTTCTCATAAAACGATGCCTGTGTTTTATGTGCAGATCTTATATTCTCAGCTGTAGTCCAAACCAGGCAGGCATTTAGTATCATCAGATCTCTGTGCCTACAATTCACTACAGAAATACACTATTCTTAACATGTAGAGTTCAATGTCTGGGTAAAACCTAAATTTGACTGTGTATATTTTGTATGAAATTATTTAAGTAAAATATACTTCTTGTGAAAGGATATCCAATGAAATGCTGAAATATTTGTGTCCTATTTCAGTGTGGTTTCTGGGGAACCACTGTTTGAACTTCAGATGAACAAATTTTATTTGGTAGCTCAGGAAGACTTGGGTAGGATGCCAAGAGCAAATCCAGTGAGATAATGTTTATAAAGATATGTTTCAACTTCTAAAAAAACCCTCCCTCAAAGACAGAAAAATCAGCTTTTAACAGAAATAAATTTTCTGGAAAGCATCTGTAGAAGTTCAGAAAACCTATTCATAAAGCTAGGCTCAAGTGATTTTTTTTAAGAAAGCAGCTCTACATTTTTGAGTTCAGTATGGCTGAAAGTCCTCTAGAATATTTATTTTCTTCAGCATTTCCTTTAATGAAACTTCCAAACCTTCTACACCACACAAACATTTTGGAGGACAAATGCTTACGAAGTAGATGCAGTATACATAGCAATTTCCAGTCCCTGCACTGGCGTAAAAAGCAGCACAGATAGATACAGCTTCCTATTTGGAGAGAAGAGAGCAATTCTGGAGTTCAGCTAGGACCATACAGCACATCAGTCAGTGGGCACTGCATAGCTAAGGCTTGAAACACCGCACATCTTGCGCATCTGGCTCCGTAGCCTCTGCAGTCAGGCTGTCTCCTTTCATTAACTGGTTCTACGCCTTGCAAAGCAGCATGATGCGCAGGTGATTTGTATTGCAGCAGCAATATTCTTGGCAGATTTATGACCTTTACCCAGTGGTACCAATGGAAAATGAGTCTAGCTAGGTCTTTTTATTGACTGCATTTCCATTACCTTCACAGGTGCTTTCTTTCCTGGCTTGTTCTTTTATCTTATTATGGACAGAAGCTACATTTACTGGACAATAGCTTCCACATTGCTCTCTTTTCATTTCCCAGAAAATATCACTGCTATGCTTTTTAAAGTTAGTTGAGACCTGTCAAATTCTTTATCACTCTTTACAACAAACTATTTGTTGCTTCAGTAAGTGCACCACATAACTGTTTTCATACCATGGCATTTATACCCACTCATCTACATAGGATGTATCAACTTTCCAAATATTCTGTGTGTTCCCCAACATAGCTACAGCAGGCTTACAAAGATTTAGACATTTTCCAGTTGCTCATGTGTTACTTGTTAAAATTTGCTTTAAAAACAGTTTAGGAACTAAGTTATAGAATTACCATTAATTTTATCTCCCTCACATTTAGGTACACATCCTCTGTGAAAAGCATTACAGAGTTTTCCGTTATAAATGAAAGGTAATGATGTGAATAACAGTATTCAAGTCACACCACCTCCAGTTTTTATATCATGATGCAAACTGACCTCATAATTTTGTCATCTTCTGTATTTAGAGCCCAGTAATGCTTTTCTGGCAGTTCACAAGGGCTACTGAATTTATGAGGCACTAGTGAGTCAGGTATTTCACGAATACTTTGCCTGCATTTCTCGAAAATGATTTCTAGAGAAATTTAAGTCTACTGTGGGTACTGGATTAAAATAGCGTAAGAACTAAGTTGTAATTTATACTATTTTGTTTTAAATTTTATTATATGGAAACACAAGTTTTCATTGTTGATTGTATTAACTTGCTATGATGAAATGCTTTTACAGATAATGGTGTTTATTCTGTTTTTCAGTACATAAAATGTACCGAATACAAAATTGCTTTGGCACATGCATAAAAATAACTTAATAAAACCTGTCTCAACCAATGTATGGACAAAAAAGAGAAACAACGTAGCATGAACCAAAATATAGGCAATTCTAGTGCCATGAGAATTATGAAATTGATTCAGGAATAGAGTCCAAAGTGTCAGTCACAAGGTACCTGGTACCTTACTCTGTGGACTACGGTGAAGTGTCTCTGTCCACTTAATCCATTGTAACAATTCATGAGGACAGAGACAGTCCCTTTGACAACCAGCAGCCAAGGCAGAGAGGTTTTCTAGACCAACATAGGCACTTTGATTCACAGGTGAAAGGGAACAAGAATCTAGGATTATACTTTCACTCCAGTAATACATTGTGTGCACTAGCAAACATATGGCTGCACGTTGCAGTAACTGATGCATCTGGTTGAACTTGCACAGCAAGTTTCATAGCTTTCACTTCATAAAATCTAACAAGAAGACTTTAAATCCATTAAAATGTGGAGGGCAAGTGAGACAAGTGACTGAAAACATCTGTGTGAGGAGAAATACATATTATCCTGCAAAACTGACTGGCAGTGCACTATCATAAAACATTTCAGACTGTTGATAAAAGCTAAAGAAGTTCTGTCTGAAATGTCCTCTCCTCCTATCCCTCTCAACACATATACATCGTCCAGTTAAAACTTGGACAAGCGAAATCCACATTAATGACCCCAAGTGAAAGTGAAATAGGACTACTTTTTAAAATAAATACACCTCTTGTTCACGCTGTTAAAAAACCTGACAAAGTGATGTTAGGGTTTCACAGGTACAAGGCATTTCTGAAACTGGACAATTCATTTTAATTGTTTCAATTTGATAATTTTCCCTAGCCGCCCTCTCCCCTTGTCTTCATCTCACCTTATATGAAAGTCACAGGGATTTTGTTGCTGATTCCAAACAAAACAGACCAAACTAGAAAACTGACAGCCAAAATATGTTGTAGACAGGATCCCTTTGAACTATCCCCCAGTGCTGTAACACCTCTCCTGAGGGGGCTATCTATTGAAAAAAACTGTTGAAATAAGTAACATTAAAATCTGTTGTAACAAATGGATTCTCTGACACCTACAGTCACGTACAGAATTCTAGTTCTAAGCCTTCAAAGCAGAGAGGGAGAGAGGGAGAAAGAAATAGGTGAGAGTGTATGTCAGATGAGGAAGATTTGCTGAATCACGCATCAAAGCAGATACAGAAGCAAGGCCTATGTCAGTTACTTTAAATACACAGTGGTACACCCAAAACATGCAGAATTCAGTTCTGTGTTCCAGGACAACGCAGACATACTGCAGACAACGACTAAAATGAGCAATAGTAAAGCCCTCTGAGAGGAGGTTGAAATTGAAAAGAGATTTAAGATTAAATCAAAGAATGTCACATTTAATATTCAGAACGCTCTAACTGAATCCTTACTGCCAGGGCTATAAATGGAATCTTACCGTGGGTTGGAACGGGAAAGCGGGCTCATTTCTTCCTGATAGTGATGCTCCTGACTGATGGGCTATGGAAAACAAAAAATAATAGTGAGAAAGTAACTTTGCAAATATTCTTTCAGAATGTATAGAAGTATGTAAAAGATCTTTTATGAACATACCCCTTTTCAGCTTCTGATATTAGAATTTTACAGTCTTTTATCTATGAAATTTAAAACGGGTATTCAGATCCTAACTGGCCAAAAGTACAACTTAACAGATGATTTTTGTCTAGGTGAAAATACACAGGAGTTGACCACATGGTCATTTCTTCACTGCCTGTGAGAGTGTTGGGACAGTCAGGAAACTTCAGAGAGGGAAGGGTGGCAAAGTCTTGTCTGACAGAAAAGTTTGGACTGCACGTGTATAGGAAGTACGGTGCAGGAACTCTCAGTTGGATTTGTACAGAACAACCCCTCTCAAGACCAGACAACACTGAGCCAGAGCTAATACAGCGGGCAAGTATGGCTCCTCTCCACTGAGAAGCACCATTAACAGTAATCTTAGCAGTGCCAAGTGAAGTTTGCTGAAGCACATATGATTCTCTATGGCACTGCCAATTTGAAATCTGAATTAAGCTGTTCATGAATAGATAACGGTGGACTGTATGAATATTTACACAAAAACCGATAATATTCCAGAGTCCTCAAATCTTACTGAGTCATTGTAAGAATGTGCCCCAAAGGTTTCAAACTACATTTGGTTTATGGCATTAAAAGCAGTAATTTGCCAGAAAGATCAATATTCATAAACTGGTGCAAAAATTCAAGATTTCTAAAATTCAGAAGTATATTTTCCCTCAGTATATATGTAGTGCTTCCAGAAGAGACCTCCCCTGCCATTATCACACACCTCAAAAGCAGTTCGAAACAAATCACTGAAGCAAATGCAAAAGAAGTGAAAACACAAGCATACATTAACAATACTTCGACAATTTAGTACATGAAATGCTAAAAATAAATACTAAGAATTATGAAAGCAATTGCTTTTTTGACAGAAATCAATATAAAAATGAGAATGTTCTCATGGTTTCAGGAAGTGGGGAGGGATGTTGTAAAATGTATGTTCAGGATGAATAACATCCTAATTACTGCCAAATATGAGTCACTGCCTGGTGGTGGATAGTGCAATTCCCAAATGATGGCTAGTGGAAGACTGAGGATGAGACAGAAAGTGAATTAGTCAGTCTATGAACCAGAATATCTGTCTAAATAATTTTTAGTCTCATTTCATAGTAAAGAATAGTCTGCCTCTGTTTTGCAATTTGACTTGATGTGAACAGATCCCTCCAGGGGTTGTCAAAGTGAGCTCTCTGTTGGAATAATTCTGGGATTAAATATCACTCCTCTTGTCTGTCAGACTTCAGTTCTGCCAGACCATTTCTGTATTAAATGGCTTTCTTTTCTGAATCATCACAAAGGAGGCCAGAAGAACCTGGAAGTACCCTCTCAGATATTTTGCAGATCAAGGCCTATGTGACTGAATTTATATTTAGGAAGTTGCTTGTGAACAAGTAATTTTTCTTTCTCTCTAGGTACTCCTTACTCAAAAGACAGGTCTTAGTGGTGAGCATATTTTGGAGTCTGCTAATGGAGCATTATACCACTACAAGCTCCTAGGATATATCAATAAGCAATCTAGGAGAATCTTCCTTCTCCTTTGCATTCCTGACTGAGAATCAGGGACCATATGCAATCAGATATCCGGAATTTTCTTATATGTGATCTTTCTCCAGAATGTTTGTGTTGTATCTGAAGTGGTGTCTGAAGTGTGGAAACAGCTACCCAAGAAGCTAAATGGGCCAATTCCTGTCAGGGCAGGATGGTCTTACTGAATCTCTAGACTAAAGCAAGGCATTTAAGCAGAAATATTTTGTAAGCTTTGCAAATTTTCTTGGATAATGTGTATATGCGTGGGTATAAACTTCACATTATACTCTGCAATATATAGAACTGTGTCTTTCATATTGCTGCAATGCTAACATAGAATTTCATAGACTTTAAGATTTAAGAAAACATTCAGGTAAGACATGGTCAAATAAAGTCTTTTGAAATACTTAGTTCTACACATACATATTATTGATTTGGAACTGTGCCCCACACACATTTTACACGGGTTTACAATTCTCCTTCGAAGTAAATCCATTTTAAAATAGAAGTTTTTCATTTCTATAACTGATAGCTATGCTGGGTGATGTATAATATTCAAAGCTATTTTATTCCTTTTTGGCTCTCATAGTTTACAGCAGCTGCTAAACCACTTATATCTCAGATTTCTCCTGACAGCATATATTCAGTTCTTGGTAAACCATCGTAAGATATAAAATACAGTTTTAGTATACCTGTTTTATAGTTATTTAAGGACATCTGTTCTAACTGCAACTTAGCAATACGACTGATCTATGTGCCTTTACATTCAGAAGGGTTTCTTAGATTCATTAGTCAGTAACACGAGAATTTTCAATGAATTTGGAAATCAGACTAACAGTGGCAAGTGATGAAAAAAATACACTCACCAAAAATGTGTCTATATATAAAATACTACTTTGAGATAAAAGTTCACTATTTAACACGACTATATCCTCCCCTGCCTTGCAAAACATCATAGGTATTTCAAAATGAAAGATACACAAAAAGCTGCCTTCTGGTGGTGCTGTTGCCATAGATCCTACTAAGGGACAAAAATGTTGTATAAAATGAATGAAAAATTGGAATAAAAATACTCCTTATCTTTGACGAACATAAGAGAAAGCAATAGATACTACTGATCTAAATAATCAGAAAGATACAACCTGGAAACACACGTAAGCATTAAAGTTTAATCATGATAAGAATTTCAAGCTGTCCTTAATTGCTCAAACTGTAATATGAGGATTATTTCTATATCTTTTCTATATATTGCACTGCTAAAATAATTTGCCTACATAACTGGAAGATGGCTACTGATATATATATAAACTTTTCTGCAGTTTGTATATCTGATTTTGGAAGGATTGATCATTTGTAAATTCTCTTTACTCAAACAATGGTGGTACTAAAGATCAGTGACACAAAAACAAATTTGCTTTTATTCTACAAATATATATTTAACATAATATATAAGGAATAAACATACATATAAGGAACACTTCTTGGTGAAAACTGGAAGCTGAAGAAACGATGACTTTACTCAGGCTGGGGGATGCAGGGATTGAGAGCAGCCCTGCCAAGAAGGACTTGGGGTGCTGGTGGATGAAAAGCTGGACATGAGCCACCCATGTGTGCTTGCAGCCCAGAAGGCCAGCCGCACCCTGGGCTGCATCCCCAGCAGCGTGGGCAGCAGGGTGAGGGAGGGGATTCTGTCCCTCTGCTCCACTCTGCTGAGACCCCACCTGGAGTCCTGCGTCCAGCTCTGGAGCCCTCAGCACAGGACAGACATGGACCTGTTGGAGCGGGGCCAAAGGAGGCCACAAAAATGATTTGAGGGCTGGAACACCTCTGCTGTAAGGAAACACTGAGAGAATTGGGGCTGCTGAGCCTGGAGAAGCAAAGGCTCCAGGGAGACCTTACAGCAGCCTTCTAGTACTTAAAGGGAGCCTATAGGAAAGATGGGGACAATCTTTTTAGTAGAGACAGTAGTGACAGGACGAGGGGTAATGGTTTTAAACTAAAACAGGGTAGGTTTAGGCTGGATATAAGGAAGAAATTCTTTACAATGAGGGTGGTGAAACACTGGAACGGGTTGCCCAGAGAGGTAGTGGAGGCCCCATCCCTGGAAACATTCAAGACCAGGTTGGACAGGGCTCTGAGCAACCTGATCTAGTTAGTGGTGTCCCTGCTCACTGCGGGGCGGTTGGACTAGATGACCTCTAGGGCTCCCTTCCAACCCAAAACTTTCTATGATTCTATGATTTCTATATCAAGCAGTCTCAAACATGCAAGTCCATACTCCAAAATCTTGTACCATATCTATGAATAGCTAGTGCTGTGACAACTATCTCAAAGGAAAATATGAAATGAATCAACAGATACTATGGACTAACTGACATTGTACTGGTACAGAGAGTCCCTTTGCATAAAGGCAGAGGTATATGGGTAGGGAAGACCATGGAACCTGAATTTCAGCAGTCTCTGTTGTAACTAAGTGTTTGGTCCTTATCTGAGACAGATTAGGTCTGCTTTCTAAATTAACTCTTCCTGTAAACGAGGTTCTTGCCATTAAATCTTAAAACTCAATGCCCATCTTGCAAAACGCAGAGGAGAAACCTGACAAGGCTGTATGTGTAAGACGCACCAACACTTTGGTCAACTGAATAAAATTTGAAAAACTTCTCTCTCAAAGACAAATATGTTGCTTTTTACACTTGATTTATGTAGAGAAAGATGGCCACAAAGGACTAGAAAAACTACAGCTACATTAAATTACAATTTAAATGACTAACCTATTATAGCTAAACACTTGTTAGACTGATGCTACTAGTGTGAACCTAGAGAAGCTGATCAAGGCAGTAAGATCAAAGAACTGTCTTTGCAACCACATTGTGCTTCACTGAATCCCGGAGCAGTACATTTTACTTTAAAAGTTCATTTTGTTCTAGTCATCTAATTTGTATTAACCAAACCTGACACGTCTAAATATTCTTATCAATTTCCTTATAATTCAACTTCTTAAAAATTAATAAGACTGCTATTCTCCTTATTTAATTGAGTTCCATTTGTCCAGTCTTGGAGATTTACACCATGTTTGAGTCTATTTAGTGAGAACTGAGAAAACTCATTGGAAATATAATGAAATCAACTAAATGTGTAATGTTGATGTATCTCAAACATTTAAAACCAACTAATGTTTCTCTAACATCCTGCAAAATATTACTCTGTAAGCCAAGCTCTTATTTATACAATTACCCACTTGTATTAATACATCTTTTCTCATTTGAAACCCTCATTTACCAGTGTACCACAAACTTCCAATGCTGTGTTGATCATTCACTATGGAAGATTACTACAAGCGGCCTCTATTTGGGCCATATAGATCCCTGGAGGTAACGTGCACCTAACATTTTAGTGCATTTACTCTACAACAGTTTATACTGGGGCAACACAGCAGTGTTTACTCTTCTAACGTTGGATCTGCCTCTGAGAGTTGTGTTGTGTGCTTTACTTAAGCCACACTCATTGTTTGTTATTGTTTCACCTATAATAAAATAAGAACTATGTTGCTGAGATATAAATGGAGTATGAGGATTTCTAGTTTTACAGCAGCTCCTGCAAGTACCTTTATATAGTTGCTGAAATCTTATCCTGTGATTTCATACGTTCAGTAGTCTTTGGTGGAGTGTAACAAATACTCCTCTGCTTCTTATAACTGTATTCTGTCACGTAGCGCAGCTGTGTGTGATTTTGTACCAGGACAAATAAGGATACAAGTTATAAAATACGGAAGGATCACATACCAAGTGCTCAGAACTACTGCAGCTTTTTGCTGCTGTTCTGCTTCAGTCCCTTAAACAGTTAGGTATCAGTAATGAGACTTTATCATTGTAAGAAGCAATTATCTTCCATTACTCACACTGTAATGCAGTTGCTGACTGGTATATCTGGGTTTCATTCATTTTAGAACTATTTTTAAGCGCTGTATCACACACCTGCAGGTTGTCAGCCACTATTGTGACAAGCTGTACAGCCTACATGATTATCCAGGATTCTAGGAAGGAATATATATAATAGATTTGCGCTTTGTCCATGGTGGTACTACAGAACCTGCTGGAAGTCCATGTGTTTTCACTGCGTGTTTTATGTGATAAGTTCTAAAAAAGTTCGGTAATGATACCTTAAATTTCAAAGCTACTCCAAGAAATTTTAATATTCAAGGCCCCCCAAGTCTCAGAATTGATAGAAACTACATGGAGAAAATACTGTGGGTTTAGACTTACTGGTGGGAAACAAGAGGTCCAGGTTGCTGTATCATCACTGCTTGTACTTATGCTAACATTGCAGTTGTCTACCTGTGATGCGCTCAGCCCGTGTGCGATCGCAGTATCTCTTAATTCTTCATTTTGTTGTCTCTTCATGCTAGCCAGCATCTGAAGTTCAGATGAACTCAGTCTATTTGACTGGTAATTTTTCCAATCATACTCCTGTGAAACAAAATGGAAAAGTCAACAATATAGACAGGATCATGGACCAGAATATATGACTGAAACAGGTACCTTGGAGAATCACTTGGGGAATCTTCAACAAGCTACAATACTAAGAGAGAAACAAAATGTTTACTAGAAAAGATTAGTTAACGGGTTACTGTTCAACTATGAAGATCAAGCATATTTACACATAATTACAGGAAGGAAGAAGAACACAAACACTGTTACGGACTGCAGTTTGGATCCAGGGAGTCTGTGAAGCTGCTGCTACACTGCAATTGAAAACAGAAGATAAAAGCAGGCTTTCAGAAGTTCAAAAATCCAGCAGCTAAAATTGCTTAAGCATTAAATGCAAATCTTGAAATAAACTCAATCACAGAGTTATCGTAGTATCATAAACACCATCAACATAACATTTAGTTATTTGTCAAGCCCAGCATAAAATTTCTCTGGAAAGCTACACATCAGCACTAAATTTTAAAAGTTATTTTGGTAACCTGCTAGCATATACATTTTACAATAAACATCACTGTATTTTCATTTTTCTTTATACTCATCACTTGAACTGTTAATGTAACTCTAACTGTTATATCAAACTTGATCCACAGGCCAAAAGCAAAAAACATGTATTAACTATTTTGCAGTTTGTACTTATGCCTTACAGAAACCCTCATGATCAGATTAAGTTCACCCAACCTGCTGTGGCATCATCTTTGTGTAAAGAACTCCTTCTTTAAAAAAACTTTCCCTTTTTTAGAGGATCCACATACATTGCTGTTTCACAAAGGAACAGGTCTAACACTTGAGGCCTCCAGTTGTGGTTCTGAATGGAATTACAAAGCATTTCTGCTTGAAAAGTCAATCCAAGTAGTGACCAGGACTTCAGAGGCCTTAGATCACTGGCATGTGGCCAGCAGGCTGCAAGGCACTATGCAACAGTATCCCAAAGAAGGGGGCTTTTAGACCAGCAGTTTATCATGTTGCTGGCAGAAGGGGCAGTCTCGCAGTCTGTTTTGCTGTGGGGAGGCACAGGGTAACTGAAAACCTCAACAACACAAACAAGTTAGCAGGGCTAGCGATATGAACACTGCTAGCTTTCCCTGCTATGAAATCCAGTGTGTAATATTTCAGTGTGCTTTCGGGGGTACAAAACTTACCTTACCACCAGAAGACACACTGAAGTATTACACTGGAATTATTACTACAACCTCCTCCACTTTCCTACTATGTATACAAGGCACATATCTAAGTCTTCTATGTGGATTGTAATCATGAATCGGTCACACCTGAGACAGGAAAACTTGAACTGCAGCTTTATTTTAGTAAGAGAAATCGTACAGCAACGTTCAATACCTTCAGGCTATGACATCACACAAACACAACATTTGCTTTTAAAAACACTCATGAGTATATGTGAGTGACTAATAAAATATTACATAGGTTCAATTATTCAGCTCCACAGAGGTATGATGTATACTGCCCACAAAAGATGTTATACATTAGACATTAATTTCCTTATTTTAAGGAAACCATGCAAAAAGATACACATACAACCTAGATTTTAATATATATTGCTTAGTATTTCACATGCAAAGTGCTCACTTTCACTAGAAAGAGTATATGATAACACTGCTGAAAAAGGAAGTTATTTTCAGTGACACATAGTACTTTTTTCTGTTTTAGGCAGTCCCATATACCTTAGAAAAATTGTATTTTCTTGGAATTAGAAAAGCATTCTTGTCTGTCTGATCCTCTTTCCTGCCAGCTTTTTTATTCCTTTGGATCAGAGCAAAGCCAGATAACGAATGATACTACCTTACTTATTTCCCCTCTGGAAGTTTAATTGGGGATATGCTCATAGATTCATTCACAATGCTGAAGCCCAAGTATAGGATATGCAATACAATGCACACTGAAATAGAATTTTGGATCAAGGACAGATGGAGAAACCTTTCTTTTTAATAACAGACATAATGGCATTATGCAATGAACAGAACCTTGAATTCAGCTCAAGCTCTAGAATATTTTACTATGCGTTTGCAAAAATAGTTTTAGAATAAAAACATGTACCGTATTTTTATTTCCTCATGGGTGCCGTAAAAGAAATCAACAGTTATTATCTCAATAGCATGTAAAATAATACCTGCTATTTTAATTCTAGTTAAGAAATTGTCATTCAGTAAAGATTGCTGTCCAACATTAAGTTTCTGGGAGTAGCAACTCTATCACATATTTCTGACGTTTTATTCTGACTGCCACGATATTAGATTTCACTTAAAACCATCTATTGCAAATAGCCAGTCAAAAAGAAAATTAGCACTGAAATAACAAAGTAAACCACCTTTGATGGGAAGTGTGCCTCCAAGCTGACAATCAGCAGGCAAATAAATCACATAAAACAGGATTTATGACTGAAGGGCGCTTGCATGGAAACAGCTGCTTGTGCACGTACGCAAATCTTTGTGAAAGAGACAACTAATTCTAAAGCCTATTGCAAACATTTTTGATTTTTTACTACGTATCTCAAATTCTTAAGTTGAATAACTTTTGTGGTCTATGATTTGCAAAGATTTTTCCTACAGAATCACCTCAAGCCCTCAGAGACTACTTTTTGGCATAGATAAATGTAGTGTGCCATTGTGTACAAGGTATAAGACAACAGAAGCTGTTGGCACAGCTGCCACCCCTTTTTTACCTCCGGCTTTTGTGGTCCAAGCTTCATTCCTGAATAGTGTGATTATTACTAGTAATTTTAATCCTAAAATAATACATAATTTTTTCTCTAGACCCTTACTGAACATAAGTTATTGGCTCAGTTACTACTAGTTATTCCTTCACTTCGTACAAAGCTTGCTATGTTACACCTGGAAAGTCTGCTTTGCTCTGATGTATTAGTATTCTACCAGATCTACAACTGCTATAACTTTTATTTATCTAACTGAAGATGCTGATTTCCTGTTAATTTTCCTATATAGAAGCCTTCTGCATTTATTTGATTATTATAAGAGAAGCTTTGGTTTATCTTTCTTACCTCATACACGAAGTAATAGGCATGCAGTCATTAAAATGACAGCACAAACTAGCGCTATGCAGAATAAAAGCTCTAAGCATTGAAATAACATTTTTCTCACTCTGTTTTTTTTTTTAACAAAGGCAAAACATTGCCAAACCCTGCTTGCCTCTTCCTTTACAGATTTTTGCACAGATTTTTGGAATTTTTACAAAATAGCCCAAAGCATTTTTTATTTTTTTCCCCCAGCTTATTTCAAATTGTCATTCTGTTTTCTTTTCTTATAATGATCTCATTCTAAAAACACCATACTCAGAAAGGAGAATAGATGCCATGACAATTTTTTGTCTTTAATATCCTGTGCAATAAACTCTGTGTAACAAAGGAGAAATAGTTTGGACTATTTATTCTGTAGCTTCAGCTGACTACTAAAAAAAATCCTCTTCACAAAGTTTGTATTGTCTTAGCTGATTTTTAAAGACAGAATTTGAAAATTGAATATGAGATTAAGTTCACTTTGTAATTTAGGAGAAACTTTTGATGTAAGAAGTAATTTTGCAATAGTCACAAATTTGTCTAAAATTAATATTTCATTTAGTAATTAAAAGCTTATCTTCTCTTTTTGCACATTCTTCCCCTATGATAAAGTATTTTTATTAAGTGCTTAAAACTTTTGCTAGATTGACAAAACCTGTTGTTTAAAGGATTTTTTTAATATATAATGACATTTGCATTCTGCTAGGTTCAAATGATTTATTCAGAATTGTTTGAATGTAGTTATACATGTGGAAAACTTTAATTACCAGCTATCTACATGCTTGCAATATTACCCAGAGGGCTGTACTTCTCTCTTAATTAAAAAGATTTGAACTTAATAATAGAGAACTCTATTAAAACATGAATAAAACATTGCAAGCAACCAGGTCCTTAAAGTGTGTTAAGGAGTTAGCAAATCGATTGCAGGAAGAGTTGGTTAAGCGTTTTTTTTTTTCCTTACCAGTCCTCTGCATGAGCAGATTAGAAGAGACGACTACTCTGTAAACTCTCACTCAAATACCCTGTCATACAAAACTATCCTTTCATACATAATTCTTAAAACAATGAACAGTGTTTCAAAATGGAAATAAAATAATTACATGCCCACAGCCAACAAAAAAATTCCAGTGCTGTCTCACTGTTGTTATCAATCTTATATGTCAGCACTTCTTTTCTTGAAACTTGTGAGGACCTAGAATATTAGTGTCTTCCTGCAAAACTGCTCCAACGGATACAAGTTTACATATGTACATGGTCAGAAAAAAGCCACAATCAAATAGGTTATTATATTTATTTTAAAATTATTGGAAATATTCTTAATAAGAATTAATAAAAACATATATTTTACTTTATTCTGTAAGTGCTAGGTGAACACACTTTCTAATATAAACAACCACTGTTTAAAAGACAGTCAGTGGCACTCAGATTTGGCTTCAAATTTTGACCACGGTCTAGTACAAAAAGAGTTATCAAAGAACTCTAAGGAAAGGCTTCTGAATGGGAAAATTTTATTACTTGATCAAACCAAGTATGAGAGCTAAATCTGCCAGACACTTTCATCACAAAGTCTGTCACTCCTGAGTTTCTATACATTGATAATAGGCTTTGTCCTTGAAAAAATACTTACAAGCAACAAACTGCAAGTGCAATACATTTACAGCTTCAAGTGGAGTATGGTAATACCTCCATTGTCTAAGTTAGTAATCAACTATTTATCGAGGAGAGGAAAAGTAATAGCTCTTTTCCTTCATCTTTCAAAACAAAGTATCACAAAAAAGTTGTAAAATATACCTTACACTTTAAAAACTTAATTGCAATCCACCTGGGTAGTCTGTATTTAGTTATGTTCTACAGGACAAAGTTGATCATTGCATTAAGCACTGATAACATCATTTAGGAAAGTAATCAACATATTTCATTTGGTATGGACAAATAGATTACAGTTATGATT